AAGATAACCTTTATCCAAACAAAACTTGCATGCATGAGGTTACTAATTCATGAATTAAAGCAAACATGTAAGAAACATTTGCTTAATCGAAGCCTTACATGAAGCAAGCATGTAAGAGGCCATTGCCTCAATCAAAACTTGGGAACGTGAAGCAAGCTTGAAGGAGGCCAGAGTCCAATTAATGCTTGGGAATGCTTGCATCAAAAGAGGCCAGATGCCTAATCGAAAGAGGTATTAATGTGGATTCAAAGTAAACATTATGGGTGGATTCGAAGCAGGTACTAGGGTAGATTCGGAGCAAAATTGAAAATGGATTCGAAGCAAGTATTAAGGTGGATTCAAAGCAGGCTTTAAGGTGGATTCGAAGAAGGCTTTAAGGTGGATTCAAAGCAGGCTGCTTCGAAGTAAACAATGCCCCAATCGAAACTTGTGAAACAAACATGAACCGAAACAATGCTCGGTCGAAGCTAGCATGAATCTAAGCAAGCTTTTTTTTTCAATTTTGTCAAAAACTCAAATTTATCTGCTTTGCTCTTTCAATTAAAAAAATCAATTATACTTGTGCAATCTTGAACTTGTGAGAAAATGTCTTGAGAAATGAGAGGACAAATTTTGGGGTACAACAGGAAGGAAAAATTAAGATGTCTGATCAAATGTCACAACATTATGCCAAACCACATGAAGTTCAAACAATAGCCCAAATGCAACCATTAGAGGTCTTATTTGTGGAAAATATGGTCACACAAAACAGGTTCATGATAGGCTTCGTGTATATCACAAAAATTTATCTTAACTTAGTTTGAATTTGTCTGTGATCAAAACTAGGAAGAAGTGGAAAGTTAAAGATATTGTCAAGAGTCTCATTGCGCATACTTCTCTGAAATTCTCATCTAGTGAAAACTGGTATTTTAACAGCGGATGTTCTAGACATATGATATGTGTGGAGAACCTATTGGTAGATGTTAAACCTCATACAACTAGTTATGCGACCTTTGGAGATGGTGCTAAGGGAGTGATTAAAGGTATTGGAAGACTATCTTGTGAAGGATCTCCTAAACTTGATAGAGTTCTGTTTGTAAAAGGATTGATTGTTAATCTCATTAGCATTAGTCAACTGTGTGACCAGAGTTTGTTAGTCAACATCTCAAAATCATAATGTCTGGTAAAAAATGAGAAAGAAGTTGTTCTAATGAAAGGTATCTGGTCCAAAGACAACTACTACTTATGGGAATCTCAAATAGTTGCTTACTCTTCCACGTGTTCAACAACCAAGGAGGATGAAAGAAGACATCTCTGTAGAAGCCATTAGAGACTTGCCAGAGTTAGAGATTGAAGAAGGAAAAGTATGTAATCAATGTGAAAACAAAAAGCATATCATAATGTCACATCCAATGTTGCAACATCAGGCTACTTCCAAAATTTTGGAACTTCTTCACATGGATGTAATGGGACCATTACATATAGACAACCTAGGAGGAAAAAGGTATGTCTTTGTGGTTGTGGATGATTATTCTGGCTATACTTGGATAAATTTTATTAGAGGAAAATCATATACCTTTGAAGTCTTTAAATATATATGTCAAAGCATTCAAGAGGAGAAGATGAGTATGATTGTCAAAATCAGAAATGACAATGACAAGGAGTTTATGGATGCACAATTTTCTGAATTTTGTGATTTTGAAGGAATAAGTCATGAGTTCTCTTATTTATGGAAAACTTAAGGAGATGAAATTATTGAGAAAAAGACTAGAGCAATACAAGAATCAACTAAAGTGATGCTTAATACCAACGTCTTTATCAATTGTCATAACATTTCCAACTGTTATGAGTTTTACTACCAGATGTTAAAGACGATGTTATAACATCTGGACCAACATGTACAAACAGGTTCTGTAGGTGCCTTATTTGATATATGTTCCAGCATATGTTGTAACATGTTACAACAAAACATCTTGACAGTGTGCTGGATATTTTATCCTGGAAGATTTAATTTGAAGATTCCAAGCCCAACTGTAGAAGACTATATAAGGAGTCATCCAAGACCTAGTTTTTAAAAAAAACATAGTTTTTATTGTAAAACTGTGTAAAAAATAAGGGTTTAGGGTTGGTAGTTCCTTAGGTTCTCCATGTGTTTTGTTTGTATGTCCTCATGTATCTCTGATACAATTGAGTTGACTGATTGTTATTTACTTGTCAAGTTATTGTTCTCCTCGAAGTTGTGAAGCAAGAGTGGGGTATTGTTCTTATTGAAGCTTTTAAGCAAACTAAATATTTGTAATTTGGAAGTGTGTTCTTCCTCTTTTGGTTTCTTAAGACACCCTTTATGATTGGGATATGTCTTTTATCACTGCGGTGATTGGAAGTGGGAGGGAGATTTCTCATATCTAGGAAGGACCTAGGTAGAAGTTGCACTAGGTAGGGATTAGGTGAGAAGTTGTAAATGGGGGAGTTTAGCTTCGAAATATTACTACTGATAATGGATTTCCTTCTTGGCTTGGTAGCTCCCAGAGTAGGTGAATTAGCACCGAACTAGGTTAACATATCATTGTGTTCTTTACTTTCTGCAAGTTATTTTATGCATTGTTGTTATTATTACTGTACTATCAGTATATGTTATAACACGTGTCTTGACATTATGCGTTGTTGAGACATCAGTTTTGACTTTTGAATATATTGTGTGTGTCTGAATTTTAATTGGTATTAGAGCAGACACCCTATTTTGATTACTGGATGAGATTCAATGAGATATATTTTCTGGCACTATGGAGTACAAAGTGAACGATTAGATAAACCACCTATGCTAAAAGATGGGTATTATGCTTTTTGGAAAGACAGGATGGCAATTTTCTTAAAAGCCATGAATAGGAAATCCTGGAAGGTTATGATGAAAGGATGACTGTATGTTGACAACAATTGACTTTTTACCCAATAAAGTTGATTTTCAATCATTTGAGCAATTGACTGACCAAACTTGTGATGCAAGGCATGAAACTTGGTATGAACATTCTTGAAGACATATAAGGACCCATGAAATCCACTCGAGGCTTTAGAAACCCAAACTTCCTTGTGAAAAATGAAACTCTAGTTGTAAGTTCATTGCTTAGGAGGAGAATTTGTATGATCAATTCTTGAGCAACCTTGAGCATTTGAGAATCCTAGGAGAATGTTTTACAGAAAAGGGAGGACAAATTTTGGGGTACAACACTATACCTTTGACTCTTATTACTCCATGCTCTAACCATGCAATAAATACCTACGAATGAAAAACTATCAAACGCTATAATATTTACATGAAAACACGATTATACTATTATTTACATAAATATGAGGGTTTTAACATAAAAACCAAAAGAACAAAGCTAATAAGTGCCACACAATACTTCTAAAAATAACGATATTTTGACACTTATCAAAGGTTTTTGTGTTGAGTATTTTATTGTTTTTTATGCTTCATAAATTTTTTGAAATTTCGAACAAGCAATTCCATGTCTTCATCAAAGTCATAATTGTTTTCTTCCTCGGCATGATATGAAACGCCTTGAAAGTCTCACATGAGGGATTCAACTTGTAAGTCTCGCCTAAAGGACTCAATTTGAAATTCTTTCTCCACAAGTGTCATCTAGGACAACAAAATTAAGACAACCTTTGTAACGAACATCTGAAGTCTCAAAAATCTCAAATCAAATCACTTCTCCCTTTACAAGACCTCATGTTTGAGGGATTGTGTATTGAGGTTAGTTTATTAGGCCTAAAAAAAGATAGTTCATAAAAAGAAAGACAAATGTCATTATGAGTGAGCGAATACCATAATGGCACCATAGGCCTCCCTAAGGAATGCCATACGAGCACCAAAGTTAGACTTAGGTTGCCCAAGGTATATTGTAAGATGCCTAGATTGGGCTTGGTTATCCAATGTGGTTTCACGATCCACTTGCTCAATGAACGCGGGTAATGAAGTTTTCTCGCGCGCCAAAAGCATAGAGAAGCCAATCAATAAGGGAAACAATGTTCCTCGTGATTAAAGAAAAACATCTCTCTAACTTTTCTCTTATCAATTATATAATCTTTATTATTTTACAAAAATCCACGTTGCGTGTTTTAAGTGACAACTTTAATGATATATAATCATTAAGATCTTAAAATATTATTAATTTAATAAATTTATTATTTAAATTTTAATTAACAATTTATTTTCTAATGCAAAATTATCAATAAATTAAGAAAATTAAAAATCAAATAATTAAAATAGTAAATTGATGACATTTTAATATGTTATTATTGATCCATCATAACAAAAATCATTTAAATTATACAAAGTGAACTTTTTCTTATGGGCCTGCTAACAACATCAGCTCACATCCACGGCCAAATTTGCATAATTCCATCGATCCACTCACTAATTCAGAACCTGCAACATCCGTATTTCTGCAAAATTATAACAGCGATTCCGCAAGCAAAAACAATAACACAGTGAAGAGAAAGCAGAGAAACTCACCTCTTTGAAGTCCATCGGAGGTAATTTCTTTGGTAAAATCTTTTCAATCTTCTGACATTCATCTTTGCCGCCAAATTCATAGATCAAGGCTTCTTACCAATCAGTAAGTTCTCAGTTGTACGTGTTTATGCCATTCTAGTATTCTCATATTGGGAATTTGTTGTGATTTTGAAGTTGTTCTGGTTTTTGCTTTTGTGGCTTCCTTTGGTTTTGTCTTTCCCTTTATTATTGAGTGTTAATCAGTTTTGGTTTGTGAGTAAGTTGGTTTCAAATTACTTATTGATTTTGTTTTGTAATAAGTTTGTAGTTCTAGTTTTTTGGTTTGAATTTAGATTTGCTTCATCTTGAGTTTGCGATTTCCTGTTTCATTTGTTTTGAGATCAAGTTGAAATTAGTTGCTTCGCAGTTCACGCACCACTGTGCCCTCTGGGAGACTTCCAAACTTTATAATTCACCTAATTTCGTATCTTTTCTTTGTGATTTTTCAGCTGGATTCTGGACTTATATGTTTTCTGCAGCTTCAGTCAGAGGAGCAAGACACAGCTCATTCTGGCTATGCTTAGTTGAACATGTTCCGACCATTGCATATTTTCCATCTTTTACTCTTTATTCCATACATCCAAGACATCTTTCTAAATTACCCCCTCCTGTACGTTCTCCATCAGCTTTTGTTTCACACCTGGGATCAAGTGTCATTGGAAGCCAAGGTAGTCAGCCAAACCGCCTACCTTCCAGATACACAAGTAATTCATCATCAGTTGAACTCAAGACCCTAAATGATGTTGTACGGTTCTCTCTGTATAATCCTGCCGATATTAGGTCTGGAATCAAGAGCCAGAATCAAAATATGAAAAAATCTAAAAGGGCCAAAGTGAATGAGCTCAAATTCTATCGTTTGAAGGCAAAACAAAAGATGTATTCTCCTAATCCACAAGTTAGAATTCGCTATAAGCTTGAAAAGGTAGCATTTTTTTTGTAATTGTAATTTTTATGTTTTAAGCTTTATTTTCTACTTTGCCTCAGCTGCTTGGTTTTGTTACCGATGTTATACTTTTATGACAATCTTACCCTTTTTAGGTGCCTACTTTTGCAATTTTATCATAATGTAATTCTATATTTTCAAGCTTTTATATGAATAGCAAATGTTAGTAAATTATTTAGTAGTAACTCAGATGGGTTGGAAAGAAGCATTATGCCTTTCACCCTTGAATTTTCCTTTCAATCTAACTCATAAATCTACAGGCCAAGCGAAAGGAAACATGGTTGATTGAAAAGCTTAGGAAATTTGATGTTCCGAAGCTCCCAGCAGAAACATTTGATCCTGAAATTTTAACCGAGGAGGAGAGGCATTACCTGAAGCGCACTGGAGAGAAAAAGAAACACTATGTTCCAGTTGGGAGACGAGGAGTGTTTGGTGGGGTAGTTCTAAACATGCATCTTCACTGGAAGAATCATGAGACGGTGAAGGTTATATGCAAGCCCTGCAAACCGGGTCAAGCTCAGGAATATGCTCAAGAGCTGGCTCGACTGAGCAAAGGCATTGTGATTGACATCAAACCTAATAATATTATCATTTTTTACCGAGGAAAGAACTATGTACAACCCAAAGTGATGTCACCGGCAGATACATTATCAAAATCAAAGGTAATGTTCACTTTGCATTAGCTCTTCATTAGCAAAAGGTATTTGACGACGAAAACTATACCACAATATTTTTTTATGAAATTATATGGATTAGGTAAGGAAGGAGAAAAGCAAAAAAATAGAGAATGATTATCATTGTGTAGTAGATGAAAGATAGTGATCAAAAAGTTTAAAAAAAAAAATTCTGAACGAACTCTAATTAGTTTCTGTTTTATACAAAAATCTCTAAAAAATAATCATTTTTCACACGATGTGTAAATTACTCCTTTTAATCTGAATCAAATGGATCCTAAATTTTAGAAATAAGAATGGTTTCTCTTAGAATGTGTTCAGGCCAACGCCTCAGATGAACGTCTGTAGCGTGGAACTAAATGGTGGGTGGTCTGATAGTGGCCCAACGGATCTTAAACGAGACTTCTGATACCATCTCAGAATGTGTGAGTTGGATCTAACTCATCTTTACAAAACTGATTTATAGGGTGAGGATTACCCCACTTATAAGCACATGCTCGGACCATATATTGTCAGATGTGAGACTCTTAACCGTTTATATTAAATATTGTATTCTAATATTAATTATCAGTAATTTATAATATTCAATAACTTTTTTTGCTTCATAATTCTTATATTTTTAAATATTCACTATTTGATGAATGTGGTTAACTACTCCATCTGTTTAAAAATGTCTGTCATTTTAGCAAAGAAAATTTATTTCAAAATGACTGTTGTTCTCACTTTTCAATGTAAAAATCATTGTTATTTTTCCAATTGTACCATTTAGTTATTCCTTTTTACATTTCTTCCAACACATTAATAATTTGGTAAAAATGGAATACTTTATGACAACGAAGGGAGTACAAAAGTTTAAAACTGCTATAGATTTATGCTTTTGCATATTGCAACCAAAGTAGTGTCAGGGAGTGCTACGCCCTCATAGGTCACAAGTAAAGTACTAGTGAATAGAAGCAATGATTTTTGTTTCATTTGAGAGACTAATCCTCAAAAAGATAAACATGTAGTATTAGTAAATCCTGTGTCTATTTTCCAGGAAATAAAAGCACTGGTGTTAATAACTTTGAAGTGCTAATTCATAAACTTATCTTGAATATGTTATGTTGAGAAAGTATTGTGTTCTCTTCTAGCAAAGAGCTTATGTTTTCTTGCTTTTGAAATCTCCAGGCCTTGGAGAAATATCGATATGAGCAGTCCCTTGAGCATACTAGCCAGTTCATTGAAAAGTTGGAGAAAGAGCTTGAAGAGTATCATGAGCACGTTGCAAAGTTTAAAAAAGGGAAAGAGGATACAACTTAAGATGTTAGAGTGTACATTAGCATGTTATTCCCAATTGATATAAATGATGCTTTGATTCATTAATAAAACTGTTGCAAGAAAATTCATTATGTTGTTTTGTAGAAGAAAAATGCTGATAACATACTAATTGCTATAACAACCCCCTTTTATTTTAACATATAATCTTTCATCCACTTGCCCTTATCTTTACTTCTTATGGGCCTGCTAACAACATCAGCTCACATCCACGGCCAAATTTGCATAATTCCATCGAACCACTCAATAATTCAGAACCTGCAACATCTGTATTTCTGCAAAGTTATAACAGCAATTCCGCAAGCAAAAACAATAACACAGTGAAGAGAAAGCAGAGAAACTCACCTCTTTGAAGTCCATCGGAGGTAATTTCTTTCACCATCTTTGCACTTCCATGCTTGCTTTTCTGAGTTAACTGTTATGTGATTGTTGTTGTTGGCTGAACCGAGTTCGAATCCATGATTTGAGTTGTTGTTGGCTGAACCGAGTTCGAATCCATGATTTGAGTTGTTGTTGCTTGTTTTTCACTTTGAGAATGCTGCCATTGTTGTTGTTGTTGTGTTTTGAACGAAATTAGTTGAGATCGAGTGAGTGAGAGAGAAGGTATAGCATAACAGAGTCGTGTTGTTGTTGATTTCCAATTGAATTTTAAGATGATGTAACGTAGAGAATAAAGGTGTAGAAAAACAAAACAAGAATAGCGGAAAAGAGGTAAGATGAAGCGGCTGAGACTTCTTAGAATTTCTACGGTTTTTCTTTAGTTTCAAATTCCTTTTGGACTTAACCCAATTGCCAACCCGACCCGTTCTCTTTAGTTGTTTTTTTTTATTTACTAATTTCTATTTTTTTTTTCTTTTCTCTAACTTTTATATTATCTTGGGCCTCTCCTATTAGTCCAATATTAGTTCATCATTTACTTTTCATATAATATTTTTATCATTACAAAAATATATTCTATTTAATTTTAACAAAAATGATGTAAAATTGAATTTCAAGAATACATTTATAAAAGAATAAATTAAAAATATTTTATTTATTTGTAGAATGAAATATGAATAAGGATAAATTTGTTTGTAACAAAAATTAATATTAATTATTCTAAATTGATGATATTGTTAGATAACTTACAAAAATTTGAACAAATTTTAATCCTTTTAAATTAATATCATAATTCAGAAATTAAAAAAATTATTTTATAGTTACATAGATTAAATGCTTTCTTAAAAAATACTAAATCTTTAATTAATACAAATATATCTTGAGTTTGCAATTTCCTGTTTCATTTGTTGTGAGATCAAGTTGAAAGTTCACGCACCACTGTGCCCTCTGGGAGACTTCCAAACTTTATAATTCACCTAATTTCGTATCTTTTCTTTGTGATTTTTCAGCTGGATTCTGGACTTATATGTTTTCTGCAGCTTCAGTCAGAGGAGCAAGACACAGCTCATTCTGGCTATACTTAGTTGAACATGTTCCGACCATTGCATATTTTCCATCTTTTACTCCTTATTCCATACATCCAAGACATCTTTCTAAATTATGTTCTCCATCAACTTTTGTTTCACACCTGGGATCAAGTGTCATTGGAAGCCAAGGTAATCAGCCAAACCGCCTACCTTCCAGATACACAAGTAATTCATCAGTTGAACTCAAGACCCTAAATGATGTTGTACGGTTCTCTCTGTATAAGCCTGCCAATACTAGTTCTGGAATCAAGAGCCAGAATCAAAATATGAAAAAATCTAAAAGGGCCAAAGTGAATGAGCTCAAATTCTATCGTTTGAAGGCAAAACAAAAGATGTATTCTCCTAATCCACAAGTTAGAATTCGCTATAAGCTTGAAAAGGTAGCATTTTTTTGTAATTGTAATTTTTATGTTTTAAGCTTTATTTTGTACTTTGCCTCAGCTGCTTGGTTTTGTTACCGATGTTATACTTTTATGACAATCTTACCCTTTTTAATTGTCTACTTTTGCAATTTTATCATAATGTAATTCTACATTTTCAAGCTTTTATATGAATAGCAAATGTTAGTAAATTATTTAGTAGTAACTCAGATGGGTTGGAAAGAAGCATTATGCCTTTCACCCTTGAATTTTCCTTTCAATCTAACTCATAAATCTACAGGCCAAGCGAAAGGAAACATGGTTGATTGAAAAGCTTAGGAAATTTGATGTTCCGAAGCTCCCAGCAGAAACATTTGATCCTGAAATTTTAACCGAGGAGGAGAGGCATTTCCTGAAGCGCACTGGAGAGAAAAAGAAACACTATGTTCCAGTTGGGAGACGAGGAGTATTTGGTGGGGTAGTTCTAAACATGCATCTTCACTGGAAGAATCATGAGACGGTGAAGGTTATGCAAGCCCTGCAAACCGGGTCAAGCTCAGGAATATGCTCAAGAGCTGGCTCGACTGAGCAAAGGCATTGTGATTGACATCAAACCTAATAATATTATCATTTTTTACCGAGGAAAGAACTATGTACAACCCAAAGTGATGTCACCCCCAGATACATTATCAAAATCAAAGGTAATGTTCACTTTGCATTAGCTCTTCATTAGCAAAAGGAAACCCAAAGTGATGTCACCCCAGATACATTATCAAAATCAAAGGTAATGTTCACTTTGCATTAGCTCTTCATTAGCAAAAGGTATTTGACGACGAAAACTATACCATAGTATTTTTTATGAAATTATATGGATTAGGTAAGGAAGGAGAAAAGCAAAAAAATAGAGAATGATTATCATTGTGTAGTAGATGAGAGATAGTGATCAAAAAGTTTAAAAAAAAATAAATTCTGAACGAACTCTAATTAATTTCTGTTTTATACAAAAATCTCACGATGTGTAAATTACTCCTTTTAATCTGAATCAAATGGATCCTAAATTTTAGAAATAATCTTCTTGAGGTTGGCAGTTATCAAGCACGAGTGCTTTCCAGCTTTGTATATATTATTGGAATATCAGAGGGTTGAGATTATATAATGATTTAACCCATTCAGTTAAAAACTTAAGTTATTACATTGATCATAGTTTCTTGTTGAGCTTAAACTACAGTGAAGGGAATGGTTTATCTTAGAATGTGTTCAGGCCAACGCCCCAGATGAGCGTCTGGAGCGTGGAACTAAATGGTGGGTGGTCCGATAGTGGTTCAACATATCTTAAATGAGGCCTCTGATACCATCTTAGAATGTGTGAATTGGGTCTAACTTATCCCTACAAAACCGGCTTGTAGGGTGAGGATTGCCCCACTTATAAGCACGTGCTCGGACCATATATTGTCCGATGTGAGACTCTTAACCGCTTATATTAAATATTGTATTCTAATATTCATTATCAGTAATTTAGAATATTCAATAACTCTTCTTACTTCATAATTCTTATATTTTTTAAATATTCACTATTTGATGAATGTGGTTAACTATTCCACCAGTTTCAAAATAACTGTCGTTTTAGCAGAGAAAATTTATTTTAAAATGAATGTCATTCTCACTTTTCAATGTAGAAATCATTGTTATTTTTCCAATTGTGTCATTTAATTATTACTTTTTACACTTCTTCTAACACATTAATAATTTGGTAAAAATGGAATACTTTATGACAACATCATTGTATTTCTTAATCAGTGTGCAAAAACCTTAAACGACAATCATTTTGAAACGGAGGGAGTACAAAAGTTTAAAAACTACTATAGATTTTGTTGAGGATACCGGTTAGCACGTTGTGCTAATATTTAGTGGGTAGTTTCAGCTATGACTTATTCAAACAATTTGTTTTTTTATTCAAATTAGTATCCCACGTTTAGGAACTGTTACAAAGGTGGTTGCTTTTCAATTTTCTTGATGTAAGGCTATTTAATAGTCATTATTGCTCATGAATAAACAGTCAGTTATTGCTCATGTATCAGAGCTTAGGCTTTTCTGATACAGGGTTTGTTGTAAGACATACCTGCAAGTATGACTTCAGAAAGTTCTTTTGTGCAACCAGCGATTCCGAAGTTTGATGGGTTCTATGATCAATGGGCGATGCTCACGGAAAATTTCCTCCGTTCGAAAGAGTATTGGGGATTAATAGAAGAAGGCGTCCCTATGGTTGCAAGTGGGACAGTTTTGACAGAGGCACAAAAGAAGCAGAATAATGAGTTGCAGCTCAAAGATTTGAAGGCCAAGAACTACCTCTTTCAAGCATTGGATTGTTATATTTTGGAGACAATTTTCAAAAAGGATACTGCAAAGGATATTTGGGACTCTATGAAGATAAAGTATCAAGGGACAAACAAAGTGAAGCAAGCTTAATTGCAGACCCTGCACAAGGAATATGAAATTCTGCACATGAAGGAAGGAGAGACAATAACAACTCTTTTTGTTCGAATTCTTACCATCGTCAATAAGATGAAAGCCAACGGTGAGACCAAAGATGATAATGATGTTGTGAGCAAGATTTTGAGGTCATTAACGCCAAAATTCAACTGCATTGTGTGCTCTATTGAGGAGTCAAACAACACAAATGCACTGACCATTGATGAACTACAAAGCAAGTTAATTTTGCATGAACAACGTGTGTCTCCTTCCATTGAAGAAGAACATGCTCTTGCAGTTACTTATGGAGGTCGAGGACGTGGTTTTGGAACTCGAGGCAGAGGTCGTGGTAGACAAAGTCGTGATCGATCAACTATAGAATGCTACAAATGCCACAAGCTTGGACATTTCCAATGGGAATGCTCGACCAAGGAGGAGGCTCATTATGCTGAAAGTCAAGAACCTTTGTTGCTCATGGCGTTTGTTGATAATGCCACAAGCTCTAATGAAAATTAGTGGTTCCTTGATTTAGGATGTAGCAATCACATGTGTGGTAAGAAATCATCTTTCTCTGATCTTGATGAAAGTTATCGTGATACTGTCAAATTGGGGAACAATGCTTCTATGACTGTATTGGGCATATGCAATATAAGTTTGCTAATACATGATAGAGCACACATCATCACTGGAGTTTTCTTTGTGCCTTAGTTGAAGAATAGTTTACTAAGCATTGGGCAGTTACAAGCCAAAAATCTGACTTATGTTTCAAGGTGGAAAATGCAAAGTTACTCATGGAAACATATATGGCTGCCAATAGAATGTTTATCCTCAATGCTGTGGCTCAACCAAACAGTTCCACATGTTTCAACACGGTTACTGAAGATGAAGGGTACCTTTGGCATTGTCGGTATGGACACCTAGGCTTCAAGGGACTCCAAACTCTTGATCTAAAAAGGATGGTGACGGCACTACCTCACTTGAAGTCTTCAACAAAGACATGCAGAGGTTGTTTGGTAGGGAAGCAACATCGAGAGTCTTTCCCTTCACATAGCACGTGGAGAGCAGATCACATTTTGCAATTGGTTCACGCCGACATTTGTTGGCCAATTAATCCAGAATCCAATAGTGGAAAAAGGTATTTTCTCACTTTAACTGATGATTTCAGTCACAAAACGTGGGTTTATTTTTTGACAGCAAAATCAGAAGCTTTAGGTGTTTTCAAAAGTTTCCAGATTCATGTTGAAAAAGAAACAAGCCATTTTATCAAAGGCCTGCGCAAAGATCGAGGAGGGGAATTTAGTTCTCATGAATTCATGTGACATTGTGTAGAGAATGGTATCAAACACCAATTGACAGCTGCATATTCTCCACAACAGAATAGCATTGCCGAAAGAAAGAATCGAACAATAATGAATATTTCTCGAAGCATGCTTTCCAGCAAACACGTTCCACGCACGTTTTGGCCGGAAGCTGTCAATTGGACTGTGCATATCCTAAATCGCAGCCCTACTCTTGCTGTGAAAAATAAAACCCCGGAAGAAGCTTGGAGTGGGATCAAACCTTCAGTTGAGTATTTTCGTGTTTTTGGTTGCATTGGAAATGTTCATGTTCCTGATGCCAAGCGAACTAAGCTCGATAACAAGAGTTTTCCTTGTGTTTCGCTTGGTGTCAGTGACGTATCCAAAGCATATCGACTATATGATCCAGTTTCCAAAAGAATCATCATTAGCAGGGATGTTGTTTTTGAAGAAGATAAGGCTTGGAATTGGCACACCAATTCTGAACCATCAACAATGTATGAATTGGAGGTGGAGGAAGAAAATGATGATGGCAGCAACAATTCTGATATTCTTGAGCCCACAAATGTTGATCAATCTTCCCCACATGCTGATAATAATGAATCTACTCGTAGTACATCAGCTCCAATTGAATCATCCACAAGTTATCCATTGCGAGATCGTCGCCGACCAGCTTGGATGGAGGATTTTGTTATTGGTGAGGGTCTTTCGGATGATTAACTTGCCGATTTGTTCTCTAACTCAGCCTTGTTTACATGTGATGGTGATCCTAATTGCTTTGAGGAGGCTATTAAAAGTGTCAAATGGCAGCAAGCAATGGACAGAGATTGAATCCATAAAAAAAGAATGATACTTGGGAATTTGTGGACCTGCCTAGTGGTGGGAAAATTGTTGGTCTCAAGTGGATTTACAAGACCAAGTACAATGAAGTCGGTCAAGTTGATAAATACAAGGCCCGTTTAGTAGCCAAAGGGTACACACAACGACATGGCATAGACTATAACAAAGTGTTTGCTCCTGTAGCACGAATGGAAACCATTCGCCTTATCCTAGCCTCGGCAGCACAACAAAATTGGTCGATCTACCAGCTTGATGTCAAATCAGCATTTCTATATGGATATGTCAAAGAGGAGTGAAGAGAAGGTATATCGGCTAAAGAAAGCCCTTTATGGCCTGAAGCAAGCCCCGCGAGCATGGTATAGTCGGATAGAGGCATGCTTTATGAGGATGGGATTTGAAAAATGTGACTATGAACACACTCTATTCATCAAAACAGACCAAGGAGGCAAGATCTTAATTGTCAGCATGTATGTTGATGATCTCATCTATATTGGTAATGATCCTGTGATGTTCACTTCTTTTGTGAGTTCTATGAAACAAGAATTCGATATGACAGATATCGGTAAGATGTGATATTTTCTTGGTCTTGAAGTTCTGCAATTGGCCAACAGTATTTTTATATCTCAAGAAATATGCTTTGGAGGTAGTAAAACGCTTTGGCATGAATGACTCTAATTCTGTGAAAAATCCTATAGTACCAGGAGTCAAGATCACAAAGGAAATTGGCAATGATGAGAGGGTGGCCAAGTCTCACTATAAGCAACTTGTCTCATGTATCTAACAACTGCTACATGGCCTGATTTGTCATATGTTGTTAGTCTCCTTAGCCGTTACATCGAGAATCCTTCAGTGAAACATATGTTGGTAGCAAAACGAGTACTGCGCTATTTGAAGGGCACTGCTCATTTCGGAATTCATTACAAGAAGGGTGGAGTAAATGAGTTTATAGCATACACTGACAGCGATTATGCAGGTGACATAGATGATCGGAAAAACACTTCTGGCTATGTGTTCATGTTTAGCTCTGGAGCAGTCTCGTGGAGCTCAAAGAAACAACCAGTAGTTAGCTTATCCACCACAGAAGCGGAATTCATAGCTGCTGCCGCTTGTGCTTGTCAAGCAGTGTGTTTACAAAGGGTATTGGCAAAGTTAAATCAGATTTCTGCTTCTAAAGGCATATCTATTAATTGTGACAATGACTCTACTATTAAGCTGTCTAGAAATCCAGTTTTGCATGGCCGTAGTAAACATATCGATGTTAGATTTCATTTTCTTCATGAGATGTCCAAAGAGGGAATTATAAATTTGATTTACTATGCTAGTCAAGAACAATTAGTCGATCTTATGATCAAACCATTTAAGCTGGGACACATTCTTGGAACTGCGAAAAAGTCTAGGTGTTTGTTCTGAATTTGAGGTAAACTGCAAACCAGAAGATAAATGAGAAGTTGCAGTTTAAGGGAGGATGTTGAGGAAACCAGTTAGCACGTTGTGCTAATATTTAGTGGGTAGTTACTTCAAACAATTTGTTTTTTATTCAAATTAGTATCCTACTCTACGTTTCTAGGAACTGTTGCTTTTCAATTTTATTGATGTAAGGCTATTTAATAGCCATTATTGCTCATGAATAAACAGTCAGTTATAGTTCCAAATTCACACTTCGTATTTGTTTTCCAACATATTTATGCCTTTACATATTGCAACCAAAGCAGTGTGTCAGGAAGTGCTACGCTCTCATAGGTCACAAGTAAAGTAGTACTAGTGAATAGAAGCAATGATTTTTGTTTCTTTTGAGAGACTAATCCTCAAAAAGATAAACATGTAGTATTAGTAAATCCTGTGTCTATTTTCCAGGAAATAAAAGCACCGGTGTTAATAACTTTGAAGTGCTAATTCATAAACTTATCTTGAATATGTTATGTTGAGAAAGTATTGTGTTCTCTTCTAGCAAAGAGCTTATGTTTTCTTGCTTTTGAAATCTCCAGGCCTTGGAGAAATATCGATATGAGCAGTCCCTTGAACATACTAGTCAGTTCATTGAAAAGTTGGAGAAAGAGCTTGAAGAGTATCATGAGCACGTTGCAAAGTTTAAAAAAGGGAAAGAGGATACAACTTAAGATGTTAGAGTGTACATTAGCATGTTATTCCCAATTGATATAAATGATGCTTGATTCATTAATTAAACTGTTGCAAGAAAATTCATTATGTTGTTTTGTAGAAGAAAAATGCTGATAACATATTCTTTTCCATCATTCTTTCCAATACAGTCTTTTTTTTGGACAGGAATGTCATACACGAGACTCAGACAAGTGATCTTGTTTGCTTTTAAGGAAATGTAAATTTTTTGTTTTCCTTGAAGTGGCTCAAGGCCAGCAGCAATACCCTTTAAGTATTGTCAGATTTGTGTATGACATTCACATGCTAATTGTATTGTTTAGGTTAATGATGGAGTTATTTTGCTCATGATTATATTCATGAAGTTTTGGTTTCTTAGAGAATATTCCGGTATAGTGTGATTTATGTAATCGATCCCACTTAGTGAAATAAGACCTTGTTGTAGTAATATTATATTCATGAAATTTTCTCATATTTCTGCATCTTTCTCTAACCAGTGAGTTACATTTTATAATTTTCCTTAAATATAGCATTGAATTCACTATTTAGCTAGTGACGGTCTTGGTAGTGTCTCATAATAAGTGTCTAATTTGAACTCCGTGTTTCATAAGAAAATGATTAGATGTGTTGATTTTAATGATAAAATTAATATCATTTACTAAAATACATTTATTAATATAGTTAGTAGAGTAGTTGAAAAACGTGAAAACTAATAAATAGAGATATAGTAGTGGAAAAAAAATAATAAATATTATATTGGTATTCTAAAGAGATATTTATTTTGAGACATAGAAAAAGTACAAATAAGACACTTATTATGAGATGACGGAGTAATAGATTTTGGGTGCAATGCCTTTCATTTTTCACACGACTTTATATTTTTGCAATGTATTGGAGCAAATGTTATTGATAATGTTGCTTATTTTCCTACCTTATATCTGATTTTGATTTTTGAAAAGAAAAAGTGTGAGTTCCTGTTCTGCTACTGTGTGTCAATTTCATCAGTTACATGATTTGGTAGAATGTCATGCATCATACAGATTCTATCCCAAAGTCCCATTCATTAGTTTGAGATACCAATCATTGAAGAAAGATGACGCAATCCCATTCACCTGGTGTGTTGAAACAAGTTCGTTATGACTTTGTAACATAATTTATGTGTCCTTTCTTGTAGAACCTGTTTAGAAACTACACTATTGCATTTAAGATGTGTGAACCGAACAATGTTACTATCAGTATTATCATTGCCATAATGACTCTTCATTCTCCTGATAAAGCTATATATATCCAATGCATATGATAAGATATTTGTCTTTAAGCAGTTACATGTGAATGAGCTCATACAACATGTTCTGAATTCACATTGGCAGTGACTTATCATAACTCAAAAGGGTTTTCTATATCTCTGCCTCTTCTTCTGTCTGTCCATTGGAAATAGCTTTAATTGAAGCTAGTCCCACCCAAAGACAAAAAAGCTAAGGAAATCACAATCAACCAAAACTGATTAACAATGACTTTTTGTAATTATCCCTCATTCACGGAGTCTTATTGACCTTGGATCTTTTTGTTTTCATAATCATCTTCATATGTAGATGATGAGGATAAGTCATCATACCAAACCATTATTAGAGATCCACACGAAACTGTCTGGTTGGTTTATCTTAATTGCTTATTATTTGATTGCTTAATAGTGATAACAAAATAATATCATTATTGTGCACTGTACAATGCAATGACTAAGATAGTAAAAAGAAAACTATTAGTGTTAACCTGTTTGTATCGTTTTATTATAATTTTAATAATCATGTTTGAAATTACACGACAAAATAACGTTGAAAATTTCCGACATATAATACAAACTAGTATCATATAGATCTTCTAATGATGGCACATCAAAACCATTGTCTTGTTTTCTTTCTCTTTCATGGCCTATAGGAATCTAAATTATGTGTAATCGAATTTAATGTTGATTGAGATCCTTAATTATAGAATGGTTTAAAAATGAAATAATATAACAGCTAAAACTACCTTAGAAAAATGCAACACACTAATTTCAAAAACCAATTTATTTTACAAAATTCTCATTTATGAAAAAAAAACTAAATTAAAATAATTTAAAATATAATACTAAATATTTAAGAGTAAGCTAAAAAAAACACTAATTTATAAGTGTTTTAAAACATCTTATAATTTATACAAATTTTTTCTTTTAAAATTAGATATTTTCAAATAATTTGTTAATTGTATTATACATCAAAATTAGTTCATAAAAATTTAATTGATATCTATTATTAATGTAATGAGTTTTTATATTGTCTGATAATCATAATTGTTAGATTTTAATATCTTAAAATTTTGATAAAGATGTTTCGTGTTGTTCCCTTGTGTTTTTGAAATATTAATTTTATTAATACTTTTGACTTTTCCTAACTCATCAGTAAGAAATTCAAAAAAAATTTAATTTGACTTTATTTTCCAACTAACGTATCTCTAATGTGTTCGAAAAAAGAATGTACATAAAAATAAAAAAAGCTCTACCTAAATAAGAAAAGCTAAGTACCACTTATAACTTTTACTTTTTTCTGTTTTTTTTTTCATTACTTTTTTTTTTAAAATTAAAGAGACAATTACGCCGTTGAGTCTGTTATTTGGTAAAGATTTTATTTTCAAATGGATGCAGCAAGAGGTATCATGAGATTGCATGTTAATCAAATCAAACTTATGAGCTCCTCTTTTCCTTATGTTCTAACTAACTCTTAGTTGTTTGTTTGACTTTTTAAAAAGTCAAGGTTAAAGTTAAATCTTTAACTAAAACGGTATTAGATTCAATGAGGTAATTGATTTTTTTAGATAAATTTTCAATGAAGAAATGTGACATACTTATAATGTATATAAACTTAATTTAGAGCATATAGTTGCTTGAATGGTGGAGAATAGGGATCATAATTATAACTTACTAACGACCACTTATACTTTTATGTTTCCCTAAGTAGATTTCTGATCGTATCTGATCAGAGTTGAACCGTCACAGTTGGTTTTGAGTTGGATTTGAAAGAGATGGGGGTACTTGCAAGACACTTTGATGGCAAAGTGAGAGACGAAATGAGCAAGCAAGTAAGTATATAGGTGTGAATAAATGAATACCTGACCCTCTCGAAATATATGGTATTTATAGTCCTCAACGCTGGGCCAAGTCCCTTTATTGGGCTGATCAAACAGGCCCAACAAAGGGACTGCCAGGTTCTACGTGAGTAGTGGGGACCTACACGTGGTCCCCTACCTGGATGATGCTCTCCGCAAAATAGGGAGGGTAGAGACGCGATCTTCCCGGGACCCTGAGGACTCCGCGAAATCCAGAGAGGTTGAAAGTCTGCCATACGAGGAGGATACTCAGGCAGAGCTTGGATCAGGATGTTCCTCGTCGGGGACGTTCCTCGCGGGCATCGGTGAGACGTAAT